AAATGGTATTAATTTAGGATGAATGAAAGATGAGTTGGAGGTGAATGGAAAAAGAATGGTGGATGAAAGTTAGACGAATGAGATGAATTTCGGAATGAATAGGAATAAAGCTGGAAATGAAAGAAATGAATGAGATGAAGGGAGATGAAGGAACGACGTTATGATAAAAAGAAATTACAAGCAGTTAAAATACATTCTAGCTTAAACAGAAGTACGACAATTTGAAGATTTATGAGCAATTATTTCCCTCTCCTCCTGCGGTGAGCACAATGAAGGCGAAGTGTTAGTTGAATTCCTCACAATCTCCGAATAAGCACAACAGTCTGGGGATATTCTCGAAAACATGCGTGGCCATGTAATTTTTTATTGCATTCACAATAAAGCTCAGATGTAAAGTTATAACACAAAGAGCAGACTGCAAGTATTTTAAAATCATTAATTTTCTCTATGAAAAATATGCTGGGAAATCAGAGTAAACGGACAACCGCAAACTGCCAGTGGATCTGTCTACCGGGAGAGAAGATCCAAACTACAACCTTAGGGAACACCACAGTTGTCCACACACACACTTAGATCATTGTTTATGAGGTAAAGCTCCCGCTGGAAGGCTGAGAGTTGCCCAAGGATATACTAGACTGCTTAGTGTAAACAGGAAGCTGAGCGACAGGACTTCCTTGGATAAGATTGATTATGTATTTTGTGGTCCGGTTGGTGTTACGAATGTTGATGAGGCATCAGAGTCTGCGCTTAATGCCAATAAGCTTCATTCAGTGTAACTCTTGATATTATACCGCCGCTGAAAAACTCAAAGGAATAAAACAGGCTATTACCCTTAACTTTTGGATTGGACTAATAAAATGCTAATGTTGGTATGTGGCGAAAGAGAGAGTGAGTTAAGTCATACTCTTATTTACAGAAGGCTTGCTCACACACACACACACACACTACGCACACACACACTACACACACACACACACACACACACACACACACACACACACACACACACACACACACAAATATATATATATATATATATATATATATATATATATATATACAAACACTGATCTCTGGCTGAAGGAGACTCGAACCTACGAACCTTGGAACAAGGTACGCAGTGCTTTACCAATCTACCCATACTGGACCAATACCTTGGAGTCCAGCTTGCGCTAGACTTTGATCCAAGGCAGCCAGCTTTCAGGGAGAAGGCTTACAGCTTTTCATCTCACCCTCTGCATACATCAGCCTTACTAGAGATATTAACAATGCAAGGAATTCGCAAGAGCAGGCGAAATATACACAAACACTGATATGTGGCTGAAGGAGACTCGAACCTATCTTTAGTGCTTTACCAGTCTACCCAGTGTGGGTAGATTGGTAAAGCACTGCGTACCTTGTTCCAAGGTTCGTAGGTTCGAGCCTTCTCCCTGAAAGTTGGCTGCCTTGGATCAAAGTCTAGCGCAAGCTGGACTCCAAGGTATTGGTCCAGTGTGAGTAGATTGGTAAAGCACTGCGTACCTTGTTCCAAGGTTCGTAGGTTCGAGATCAGTGTTTGTGTATATTTCGCCTGCTCTTGCGAATTCCTTATATATATATATATATATATATATATATATATATATATATATATATATATATATATATATATATATATATATATATATATATATATATAAGCCAGAATTCGATCCTGCGTCACCATGCTTAGCCCTGTGAGAATAGGACAATGTATGCATCACTCTATCCACTGGGCCAACAATTATCGAGAATTGATGGTCCGGTGGATAGAATGATGGGTACATTGTGGTGTTCTCGTGGGGCTGGGCATGGTGACGCAGGATCCAGTGCTATCCAGGAGACGGTCACCGCTGCCAGCTCGGGTTAGGGCCTTAACAAATATACATATTAGATTTTTTTATTTCTTACATTACCAATCAGTGGCTCATTTTCACAGGAAAAATATTTTATTTTTTGCTCACACAGCATCGCATCCAGTCTGTAGATTCACCTCATCCTCACCACATTCACGCCCATGAACAACAATATTTCTTTTTGTAATTAAAGAGAAATCCTTCTTTATTCTTCAAGGAATGCAGTGTTTCTCAAAGCCAACAATCCCCATCTTCCTCTTCAAGGAACATAGTGCTCATCAAGCCCTACAACCAGAATCTTTCTCATCAAGGAAAGCCGTGCTCATCAAACCCTACAACCCCATCTTCCTCATCAAGGAAAGCCGTGTTCCTAAGCTCCCAACAACCCTCATCCTCCCTTCAAGGTAAAAGTTACAATATATGCCCACCCATTACAAAGTCAATGACACCTTTGAAATTATGCTACTGTGCCGTAGATACTTGCAACGAGACAAAAAATAAACCAGTATCGCTTCCCAAGGCAGCCCATTAAGCTTAAATATGCTCGGCTGAACCTCGATTTAGAAAGAAAATTTCAGGCGACGTTTCGGTCTGTTCTGGGTCATTATCACGAACCAAAACCTCGTCTATAGCTTTCTCTTCAGCTTATGAAACGGATGTTAATTGTTCTAGTCATGGTATATGATTCATTCTCCTTTGACACGTTGCGTTACACCCACGAGTCTGTGATATACCTCCTCATAACAAATTATTATTATTATTATTATTGTTATTATTATTATTATTATTATTATTATTATTAGATCAAGTCTCTTAAATCAAGAGCCCTGTTGATGACAGATTCCAGCAAGTATGTGATCCGTTATACCTTAAGCGGGGAGGTACGTTACATATGGTTTGGTACACTTGTTTCTTCACCTACGTGGGGCAAAACGTAGCACCCATTTAAAAAAAAATCCCTACAGAGAATGTCTTCCAGCCACGTTTCTGTATTTACACCTTATTTCCGCGACAGGTTCTTGTGTTTAGGGTAAGTAATGGATGAGGTGTGTCACGAGCCTGGCAAGACAGGTTCATACGGTTAGCGTTCTCTTGATCAAGGACCCACCAGGGGGCTGCTGGCTGCTTGCCAGGGCTCACCACCAGGCTAACCCTCGGTGCATTATTATTATAATCAAAAAGAAGCGCTAAGCCACAAGGGCTATACAGCAACCCTCGGTGCAGAGAAATTATATGCACACCCACGGCTCCATCCAACGTCAGTAAATAATGATATGTTGTGTACTTCGGGTAAGGGCGAGAGGCAACTTTCTGATTCCACTTACGCCCTCTTAAAATCAGATATCCGAGTTAATTTTTATTTATTTAAACCACTTTCTTAAGGATGTCACAATACCGCATCTAGAAGTATTCACGATTTACCACAGATTGGGAAGGAAATTCCAGACGACCTTCGGGCCTCTCTTATCCATTTTTTTTTTTGCGTCGCAACTGATTAAATAGTGGAAAAGAGTTCTAAAATATACATACAGTAATAGTGATAATAGCTGAATTTGTTTCAGCAAAAATATGTTTCAAAATCATCGAAAGTTTGTAATAAATTACCTTTTTATGACAAAAATACAGATCACACTCGTTTCCATTCTTTCTCAGTGGACCAAGTATATACATAAACACACACACACACACACACACACACACACACACACACACACTTAGTGACGACCAGTGAAGAGGCGAGGCCAGGAGCAATGAAACGACCCCTGCAACCACAATTAGGTGAGTAACACCACCACCACCAACAACAACAACAACACAGAACACATACCACACACAATAGGCCAAGTGTCCATCGACATGTGCTTTTAAAAACTAGTAACTACTACTACAACAACAACGACTACTACTACTGCTACTACTACTATTACTACTACTACTACTACTACCAACTTTACTACTAATATTATTGTTACTAACACACTAAGAAGCCCACCCATTGCAAGGTAGTTTTCCTCTATTTAGCAAATCAGAAAAATAAATTCCTCGTTTTAATTAAACATGTTGATACCAAAGAATGAACAAGACAAAAACTGGTCACGGATAATCACCATGATGGTGAAAGTTGAACATGGTGAGAGTCTAAGACCTGTTACCTATAAAAATTTGAACACACCAACACACACACAAACACACACACACACACACACACACACACACACACACACACACACAGGGAAAGATAGCGTCACTGGTCACTGTTACAAAGTGTCAATTAGAAAGTATTTCTTGACCTGCCTGCTGCCTATGCTGCCTCCAAGTTTCCTGTCTGTTCATTCAGCATTATTTTCATTATTATTATTATTATTATTATTATTATTATTATTATTATTATTATTACTATCTTTATTATTATTCTACTGTTGTTCTTTCCATTATATTTTTCTTCTTTTTACTTTTATTCATTTATTTATTATTATTATTATTATTATTATTATTATTAGTAGTAGTAGTAGTAGTAGTAGTAGTAGCAGAAGTAGGTGGGCCTTGATGTTGAGAAAGGGATACTATTCCAAGGAACAGGAGCTAGTTTCCCCTTCCTTGGATCAAATCTGATATTTTCCCATTCCCCAAGTACAGCATGATCTATACGGATTAAGTGCTTCAAAGAAATGTAATAATAACAAAAATAATAATAATAATAATAATAATAATAATAAAAATAATAATATTATTATTATTATTATTATTATTATAAATTGCAAAATAAATACATAAATAAATGCTTAACACAGCACACGACCACAAAACACTGCTGAACACTGCAAAACACTGCTGAACACTGCAAAACACTGCTGAACACTGCAAAACACTGCTGAACACTGCAATTTTGTCGAAAGAAAAACCATCCTCTCTACTTAAAAGAGAAAAATGATGCATGCACTCTTCGTCAGCGGGCTGCCTGGGCGACGACTCAACAAATAGTCCACGAGATGTTCCCCACTTCTTAACGGTGACAGAGCCTCAGGGGGTTGGGAGAAGAGAGGAAAAAGAGGACCCTTTCGAAAGTTACATAATCACTGACTATGATACCCATACTATAATGTTTAGTCTGAACAGTTATCATACCTTCTTACGAGAAATGTTAGTTATGTTCCAGGATGCTTTCAAGAACAATGTTTAGTATCATAAAAGAATTCTTATAACAATTCAACGAGAGAATCTTTATCTTTCACAAAAACTGCGACACAGTAAATGTCGAGCTTAGTTATTGAGAGCAATGACACGTCTCACACCTCACTGACTCCCAGAAAAAGTCGTAACGTACATGTTTATTTCCTTAATCGACGGATATCTTGGGGAGTACGTGCGAGCATGCGGGAGCGATCCACAGATAGCCAAGTGTCAGCACGATAGATAGATCACTAGTGTTGCTTAGCTGAGCACAGCGATCCACGGCCACCTTCCTTTCTCTTTTCCTCACATGAAGTCCGCTACTCGGGCTGCCGAGTACCAACTATTCTCTGCTTGGACTCGTATTTCTACTACAAAACAGAGCATTGACTAAGCAATAATTTAAACTTCTTCGTTGTCTCTTTACATAAACTCTCTGAAAAAAGTAAATAACCCAGACGAGGAGAGAATTTGATAAACATGGAGATTTAGGCAACAAGTGCGAAGCGTCAACTCTGCTACAACGTGTTCCTGTGGGAGTCAGCCAATCAAACCCAAGTATGAAGGTGGCACCAACCTCGTTTTGAAGGTCACCTACTGGCACTGGGAGGAGGGGTACCGGGAAGAGAGAGGAGGGCCAGGTAAGGGCACTGAGAGGAGAGGAAAAAAATTGGTGAAAGGGGTGTTGTCGGCCTACGAAAAAGGACAAATAGGTAACCTATCTCAACTGAATCAGATTTTCTAATACACAAAAGTGTATAATGAGTTCATTATATTAGGTCAGTGCCAAGAGTAAACAGAGAGTCTGATGACCTTCGCCCAATAAAATTAGAGAATGCTTAACCTGGTAACACGTAGGTCATGCAGCTGGACCTACTACCTCCTAGCATGACCTCTTACCTTTCTTATCTTCAACTATGATATTTCGGACAGCAATATATATATTATATGTGTGTAGCTACAGCATCAGATCTTTGCTCATGGTGTTCCGTCTTCAGAAATTTGTTCGTCATACATTGTTTTTCATATTTAAAATAGTTATTGCATATACAACCTCCTCCTTTAAATCAGTTCATTTCTCAAAGATTATGATAAAAAAAAAATCTGGTATTCACTGTGTATCGAAAACGTTGCTGTTAATAAAGGTACTCATTGTATGGGAGAAATTTTGTGGTTAATATAAGTATTCACCGTGTGGGAGAAACATTGTAATTAATAAAGATATTCCCCGTATGGAAAAACTTTGTGGATAATAAAGATATCAACTGCATCCAAGGGTCATTTCCTCTACCTTGTATATGTATGTGTTGTTGTTGGTGTGTCTTGATTATATCACATTCTAACACAAACGAAACCACGTGGAAAAACTGAGGTTTTCATGTTTCGCCTCGCCCGGAGGCGGGTTTACACAGTTCTGTGTTTGTCTTCTATTGAAGTGTCTCTCTGCGGGTTCCTTTGTGCCATCAGCGTCCGTGTGGGTTAGTCTGTGTCCACCGACCAGCGTCCGTGTGGGCCAGTTTGTGACCACCGACCAGCGTCCGTGTGGGTTAGTTTGTGACCACCGACTAGTGTCAGTGTGGGCCAGTTTGTGACCACCGACCAGCGTCCGTGTGGGTTAGTTTGTGACCACCGACCAGCGTCCGTGTGGGTTAGTTTGTGACCACCGACTAGTGTCAGTGTGGGCTAGTTAGTGACCACCAACCAGTGTCTGTATTACACTTTTGTCCTATGATGGGGTAGGGGGGTGAAGAGGGGATGTGGGGAGATTCCTCGGCTGTGAGGGGGAGGGGAGGTGCCTCGATACCAATGATGAGTTCTTGATCCAAGGATCCGGAGCTACTCTCCCCTTCTATGGATCGAACTTGTTTATGTCTCGGTCCCCAGGCGCCGTATGACTCCAATAATAATAATAATAATAATAATAATAATAATAATAATAATAATAATAATAATAATAATAATTAAAATGCATTATAGTGATTCGATAATAGATCTAATTCTGAGAGAATAAACAAGTGGTATCCTTCAATCATGGCTTAAATCCTGATTAATGGCTTACCAGTCTCTAGTGATGCCTTTGAACTTTCTCTGGTTTCACCTGAAGACCGGCCAGATGGCTCTGCCCTCCGCCTGGATCATACATGGATGGTATATAAGAAGGAATCATGACTGGTGTAATCTGTATCCTTGAATCTTTATCCAGTATCATTGCTTCCTCTACTGTATTGTCCGTAAGGAACCTATGTGATGTTAGCACACAGTACCCTGACTAAAAAATTAATATTAAATTCGTGGAAAAGTGTTAAACCGAGAGGGGATCCTAACGAGAGTTAGGAATAATAGACAAGTTTGCTTCAAGGGGAGGGTTATGTTCATGCACGGATCAAGAGCCCTTCACTGTGATCAAGACATTCCTCTTGAAGGGACATTACCAAGTGACTGATATGCTATTATCAGTATGTGTAATTTCGACAAGTGTGGTCTTGTAGGATGGCAGATATTGTTAGGTAAAAGGACACAAGTGCAACTAATGTGACATTGTGGCAACATTTCGCTCTCCAGGAGCTTTATCAAGCCGTAACGGCTTGATAAAGCTCCTGGAGAGCGAAACGTTGTCACAATAAAATGTCACATAAGTTGCACTTGTGTCCTTTTACCTAACATATTGTCGGTAATTATACCAACATTAATACATGGCAGATATTGCCGATGAGTAACATAGAAAGATACTTGGAATAGAGAAGACCATTAACAAAGATGTTTCGCTCACTGTTGAGCTTTATCAAGTCATGACTTAATAAAGCTGTACACAGAAAAAACGTCGTTAATGTTATGATTTGCTCTGTACTAAGAGTCTTTCTATAAAATATGTATTACTCTTTAAAAGGTTTAGTATTCTGAGAGTATAAACGTACTCAGAAAGCAGCTGATGGCCAAGACCTTGAATCATCTACCTTTCTCTAATGCTTCTGTATGTTGTGCATCAAGGCATGACTTACAAATCAAGCACTTAAAAAATTTACACACAACTGCATCCCTAAGATGGTGGGAACAACATGTTGACGCCTAGTTGAACTGTGAACAGTGAGCGAGTTGTGTGTTGCTAAAGAGACGAACTGATAGTTTGCCAGAGGGTCTTCTTTTATTGCACAATCTTAGGTACAATAGATCGGTAGATACTTGCCAGCCTTAGATTGAGCACTTTGACATGGGTGACAAACAAATAAGGCTAGGTGGCCAAGGTCTTAAGTGTCCGCCTTAAAACTGGACTGCAACATCTGCACGGCAATTCTAAATTCTTGCAAGGTAGGACCTTTTATCACTCTCTATCGCAAGCTGGACTCCAAGGTATTGGTCCACTGTGGTGAGTTTGGCATAGCACTGCGTACCTTGTTCCAAGGTTCGTAGGTTCGAGTCTCCTTCAGCCAGAGATCAGTGTATATATATATATATATATATATATATATATATATATATATATATATATATATATATCGGCCGTTTCCCACCAAGGTAGGGTGGCCCGACAAAGAAAAACTTTCATCAATCACTCCATCACTGTCTTGCCAGAGGCGCGCTAACACTACAGTTATAAAACTGCAACACCCCTACCACCTTACTAGTAGGTAGTAGGTTGGTAGACAGCAACCGCAGGTACTACCGTCCTGCCAAGTGAGTGCAAAACACAAGCTTGTAGTTGTTTTACATGATGGTAGGATTGCTGGTGTCTTTTTTGTCTCATAAACATGCAAGATTTCAGCTACTTCTACTTACACTTAGATCACACTACACATACATGTACAAGCACATATATACACACCCCTCTGGTTTTCCTTCTATTTTCTTATTCTTATTCTTGTTTATTTCCTCTTATCTCCATGGCGAACTGGAACAGAATTCTTCCTCTGTAAGCCATGCGTGTCGTAAGGGGCGACTAAAATGTCAGGAGTAAAGGGCGGTTATTTACGCCGACATTGATACCCAATTCTGCTACAAAATAATTTGCATACTCGTCATAAGACTGAAAAATATCAGGCATAAGATCTAAGTCATACACACGTGTATTCTTGTTCTGGAACGAAAAGTTTACTGCTGTTGTACTCATAAACCTATATCTGCCACGTGATGAGAAAAGAAAGTATAAGGGCTGTCGTGATCATCTGTCGTCTGACCACGCGCTCTCACTACTCATTCATCCTGCTAACCTTCTCTTAAACATTATCAATAAATTTCATAGCATCTAAGTGGGTATCCTTAATAGCCTTGCTAGCGATCTCTGTCATTTCATACCTGTTCTCACGTAGCTGAGAACTGTACATGGGCAAAACAGTTTCCTAACCTACTAAGGTATTCTAGGTTCCTGGCTATGATTCTGTAACATTATTTTACCACCTATAACCACATCACTCTTTGTTTAGCAGTATCATTACGGGAATTCGTGAAAATAGTACTTGGAATTTCCGAATCCTATTACGGAGGACAAAGCAAGATCACATATTAGACCATACCACGGGTGGGGATAGAACCCGCGATCAGAGAGTCTCAAAACTCCAGTCGCGTTAGCCACTAACGCGACGGTCTGGAGTTTTGAGACTCTCTGATCGCGGGTTCTATCCCCGCCCGTGGAATAGTTTGTTTGCAATCGTGTCATTACGATTTCGTGAGTCACATATTAGACGTTTGTCATACCCATAGAGTGCAAAGTGTGGGACATCTTATTGTGCTTTTAAGAGAAGTTCATTATGCTCTGCACAACTGGAATGGCATTATCTCAGATGTCACAGTTAAGATTTATTGTTATTCACAATACCTCGAGTATTTTCCTTTTGACACTTTCAGCTCGACCATCGCTGGCGCGTCGTCATAAAATCTTGTGGAATATTGAACTTGTGGCAAAGATCCTTCGGCTTTGCTGTTATAAATTCCAAACCAAGTACGACAATGAATGGTTCGCTGAACAAATTATCTACTGTCTCAACAGTTTCATCAGGAACGGAAACGAGTTCGCGAAACGTGAGAAGTTATTGACTACAGCAAGTAAATGTTTATTGTCTTTCACATAGGTCAAAAAAAATCGCCATTGGGCCAATAAAAGCTCTTTCTCAAGGCTCTTTTGTGATTCCTCATATTCTGATGTCTCCTTTGCCTCTTTAAGACAAATATATCTGACTGTAGCTTATCTAATACTTGTAGAACTAGAAGATAGAATGTATGGAGTAGAGAGAGAGGGAGAGAAACAGAGAGAGAGAGAGAGAGAGAGAGAGAGAGAGAGAGAGAG